TATGAAGAATACATTATAGTTACATGAAAGTAAAATTATTATTTACCGAAAGTGAGACGAAAAGGTTGAATATTAGTTCCAGATTTCATGTTAAAATGGAATTAATATTTTCTTTTATAAAGTAAAGAATAGTTATAAAATGTACTACACAATTATAACATATTTTTTAAAAAGCTTTTCTTGACTCGATTATAAACATTATTTCTTGATTTTTCAACCCACTGATTATTTGCATGAGCAAAGAAAAGCAGCTTTAGCTTCAGCGAGAAAAAACAAATAAAGTGAATTAATTATTTAAAGACTGGAAAATAAAGATGTATTTAATTGGTTAATGCAACTACTTTATTAGAAAAATGTTCTACAGGAAAACTGAAGAACATGTTAAGTAAACGTTTAGTAATAAAGAGCTAATTTTGTAGTATAGTCACTTTATTTCTCTGAGTTATGAAGGGCTAAAAAAATGAAAATGTTCCAAATATTTTCGAATATATTGTTACGCCTCCAGTCGTTAGTTAATTTTTTGTAAATTCGTTCCGACGAAACTTTAGGGACACAAGTCCTTTCTTAAATAAAACTGGTTTATTTTTTCTGAATATAAATTTGCGATACACTTAATTTTAACAGTCGCGCTATAACAAACGTCTCACGAGATCGACTTCAACAATACTCTGTTCAATTACACACTCTCTGACTGCAGTTCAATTACTCATTGCCCCGTCACGTTGTGACCATCTTATATATACCAGACTACCCCCAATCTAGTAGTCTCCCGATAATTCACGAAGGTTCGAGAAGGACGTGGCGTGATACTAGTCACGTGACCTCGCTGACGCAACAATGAATTACTCCCTTTAACGTGACACATGTGGCTAATACTAACATACCCATTCTTAGGCCTTGTACAGTTCTCAAAACAACACAAAGTACACTAGGACCATATTTTTGTGCTATATTTAATCATAAAAAAGGGAACACTCTCATACAGTACTTAAAAGAGAACTAGAAGGATTCTAGAAACGTTAGCAGTAATGACGAAGGTAATGTGCAGCCTATACAATAGTAGCTTTATCTTATATATCTACTGCTGGAAGAAGGAGTTCTTGATCACATTTTTGTGTATCTATTTTGCGATACGTGAGTATTGTTCATTATGTTTTACCTATACTCAGGGGATTTTTCAATACTTTATACCTACACAACTATGCAAGGGGAGTAATTGATTAGGCTAAATTGTTTAAAAACCGGTATTGTGCATTTTGGTATAAATGAAAAGTGTAACTCTGTACGGTCTTGGCTTTGTCATATATCACTAATAGGTAAGTTTCGGGACCCTTCACATATTATCGGTCCCTTTGGACAAGGGTAAATCAAGGAGGAAGGTATGGTCTAGCTTGTTCTTTGTTTAACCCTTGTCTTGGGCAGTGAAAATGAGTAAAGACCCCAAAATTGATCTGACAGTGACATATGACAAAATAAAAAAAAAATGTTAGGTTTTTACGTTGTTTGTCACACAAATTACAACTTTTTAAACAGTGCGTAAATTAAACAGTATAGAAGAATTAATTGGTGGTATTAATGGTACTAATTTTTCACAGGCTCTATGTTGTGGATTAATATTCTTATAAATATCAAAATTTAAATAGGCCATATCTATCCCTGTGCTGTGGTAAAAGGAGTAATTAATTACATGACATTTCTGAAAAACTTTTCTCTCGTCATACTTATAATCTATAATTATGTCACTGGGAAAATAATACTAAAAGATGTGTCTTTCTGTTGTTGAATTTCTTATAAGATCTTCGACATTACTTATAAAACACGTGTTCAAATATTTATGTCAGGTTTAATTCAATAAATGCTAAATGGTTCAAAAGTCTCTTGGAAATATATGTAAAAACAGCAGTCCTTATAGTTGAAATTAGTTTCTCATAAATTTATAATATTAATTGGTATTTTATCTATTTCTTTAGTTATTAGAATCGTGCTTTATAATCGAAATATCAAACTATATGTTATGACAGCGGAAGTCGCGTGACGCTGGGAGCATGCGCGCTGGAGTTTCTAGAATTATCGGTAGGAAATGAACACCTTTTTTTTTCTAAAAAAAAAAAAGTCGATAATTATCAGTATATTTCGCATGTGTTGATTATCTAACTCCATTCAAAATGGTTTTATATTTTTCTAACTGGAAGTGGATGATGTTATGTGCAGAAGGTCTACAATCTTTGCAGGTTTGAAAACATTACTGCCCCAGTTTTGCTAGACGCCCTCTTTTTTAGTATATAAGCCTGGCAAAGAAAGCCAGCGACTGCACTGGCAAACTTCTAGAGAAAATTATAACGACAAGGTTATTATGGATGCTAGAAAACAACAATATATTATCACACATCCAGAATGCAGGACGCAAAAACAGACAGACTGCAGACCATCTCGTACGATTAATTGAGACCATGTTTACAGGATTTAATAAACTACAAGCCACTATTGCCACTTTCTTAGACATACAAAAAGCTTTTGATACGGTCTGGCACAACGGACTCAAATACAAATTAATGAAGCACAATATACCTACCACATCCACAAAATGGATTTCTAACTTCTTAGACAATAGATCTGCGAAAGTTAAAATCAACACTTCAGTCTCAC